AGGTAACGTAATCATTCCGCCTGTTTAATAGTGGTACTAACAGTGGTACTCACCCATTTAACAGTGGTAGAAATCCTTAACGTTTTTCAGCTTAAATTGCATGGTATTCAGCTTTCCTTAACGTTTTTTTTCCTGCCGTGCCTTCAGAAGGAACTGTACTTTCCAGATTAATCAGTCAAATTAGACTATTGTTGATTGCATTCCAGAATACCATAATTACTAAACGATGGTAATAAATAGTGCATTGAATATCTTGCGATAGCTTAATATGACGCATTTTGACAGGTACGTTGAACTTGGTTAAAGTATGTATTTATTATTATGACGGACGTTTACCTTACACTTGATTAATGTATTGCGCACAATCGAAAATGTACTGTGCGTTACAATGTACTGTATATTAAAGAAGTAGCATACTATGTACTGTACGCATTACTATGTATGTACTGTTCTACTGTAGTACATGTACTGTTGTTGTAACAGTCCTCAGGAAAAGTACAGTCGCATAGTTCAGATTAATCAGCCAAATTAGACTATACTAAACCATGGTCATAAATAGTGCATTGAATATCTTGAGATAGCTTAATATGACGCATTTTGACAGTTACGTTGAACTTGATTAAAGTATGTATTGACTATTACCACTCTTGGTCCGGAATAATTGGTGTACAGTGAACTCGGTATTAACTCGCAAGTGTTGCACATCAAACAATTTTAGAGGTTGTATGGAGCCATCAATTATCAGTTTTGGAATTATTTTCTTCCAATTGTACATGTGGACGTTTACTACTTCATTCACCCCGTGTGATTGGTGAATCCTATGCTAAAATTATTCATTATGTACTCTGAGCATATATTATCAAACTTGAAAAATACGAGGTAGAGCCTTTTCGAACGACTTTTTCACCGATGATTCAGAAATGGATTCCCAGGCGCTGATGGTTCTCTCAATCATCTTTCTTCTTTTGTCAGCAGCGGTGATGACCGGGGTCTCTTGAAGCCACCTTGTGCGCAGTTTCGCCTTCAATTGGCCCATGACACCGACATCTAGTGGTTGGATCACGCTCGTTGAGTTGGGCGGCAGCGGCTCCAGAAAGCCGAAAAGCTCTTCGTCAACTGTCTTGTACGACGCACGAGAGACATGCGACGCCAGGTTGTCGACCAAAATATGACAGAGGGGCCAATTAATTCAAACTTCAAAAGTTCGTTCAGATAATATATCCAAACACTTTTATCCATCCACGCCGTCTCCTGGATAGCGTAGATATTCCCAGGAGGATACGTCGACAGCTTTTCCGACTCAATTGCACCGCCTGGAGTCCCGCGGACAATAAAAAGAATCGGCAACTTTGTTCCTATATTAAACAATGTCGTTAGATTGTTTATGACGTTAGACATCGTGATTTCAGCAGGAAACAATCAACCTCGACTCAAAATCTTATGTGAGCTCCAGAACTCAAGACCATCATTAATGTTGTGCTAACAGTAATTTACTCCGTAAATTTACCATAATTGTGCTAACAGCAATTTACTCAATAAAGATATGATAAATGCTCACACTGTCCAATTGACAAAATAATTTTAGCGAGGTACTCGAAGACTCGAAGACTATTGATTTCGAGTTTGCAAAAAGTGCAACCAACCATAACATTGATGTTCTCAAATATGTTATGATGAATCAATACACAAAGGAGTTTATATGTAGAGGAGTACAACGAAAAATTTACAGTAATGAATTTACTACTAGATTATAAAATAATAGAATATAGAAATAGCAGAATACATAAACTCAATAATAATGATCAAATATGAATCAAATATATACAACATATTCAAGAAACATACAGTACCATCGGCGTAAATTGCCAACACCGCTGTAAGCCGATCGGAATGCTTCTCCTTAGCTTCGACCTCCGACGTTTCACCAACTTCACACCAAATTCGTCTTGGCGGCATGTCGTAGTTCACCGCAGTTTCGTCAACGTTGACGATGTCGCGCAGCGGCTGCTCTCCGTATTTCGTCCAAAAGGACACCAAAAACGACATTTGGTGGTCTTGAAGCTCGGCTTTCTTCAACTTCGAGAAACACGGTACTCGCTGGGCACCCCGAAACCCCGCGATGGGTGAAACGTTGGCCCATCGCCAACAGACACTTGTATGCTCGGTCGTCGGTGGTCTTGTTCCCGAGGTAGGATTCCAGCCATTCTGGTTGATGGGATCCAAGTTATCACGTGCGACGTCGTGAGGTTGTGGCTATCGCATCTAACCTTTCTCATGTAGGCCAGGAGGCCAGCTCCAAACTACATATGCCGGGCGCCGCCCTTGCCCACCAGGCGAGGCGAGCTTCTTGTTCCGCGCAGTGGCCAAGTACTTGGCCTTCTTGGTGAGCCAAGTCTGCCACGTGGACCGTGCAATCCCCTCAATGGCGCAAATGGCACAGGCCGAAAGAGGGGAGTTCTCGTACGCACGCAGAAGCTTGATTCTGTCTCCGAGGCTGTAGCCTTTTTGGACGCGCTGGCGGAGGATGGATGCTTGCATTTCAAAATATGAATTATTGGAGTTACGTTTCGAACCAATAGTCGATCGTCATGCAGATCACCTTTTGCTATCCAATCAGCAGCTAGGTCATAATTTTGCATTTTCGCCGCGACAAACTTAGAAAGGATCAGATAAATAAAAATATGGGTCTACCACTCTTGCGACTTAATACCGAGTTCACTGTACTTCTTTTGAGAAGCGGTCATTTGTCCAAATTCTTGCGTTGCGACTATCGGATTGGTGCAACATAATGCTTGTTATCTCGTCTTTGATTGGTTTATTTGTGCTAGACGTAATTTGTCCAATTGGTGGAGAAATGGTCGTCGAAGTGCACCGAGCACAAATTTTTCACTCTAAATCTTCCGCAGGGCCTCATGTGTCAATGCAATCTCGTGCACTCATACTCCTATCCAGTTTTTGACCTGTTTCGGAGCTCCTGAGTGTCTTGGACGCGTATGTTGGCTTCCTTTTCTTGCGCCGGTGTAGCAGCGGTGAACGTCACGCTTAAAATCCATATCTACTGTAGAGCAAATCCAAGGCCCGCCTCTCGGTATCGGGGCCACATAACATAGATCTACATTTCCTGCATTGAAAGCATACTCCTATCTTGCGTTTGTCCCGACTTACGGCACTCCATTGCCACGACACTTCAACGACCAACCCATTCGGGGTATTCACCTCTTACATGATATCTTAGTGTTCATTTATGGAGGGAAAATTCTGAAATTGCATACTGACACCAAGTCTAAAATTGGCATTTCCTTCAATACACATTTCAAGATACTTTTTGATGAGCAGTATACTTTAATCAAGTCAAAACTATACAACATTTATTCCGGTCCAGAGTAGTATGACGTTTATCTTACACTTGACTAATGTATTGCGCACAATCGACAAAAACATCGACAACGACAACAACATACATCTCCCGAAATCTGCACCCTAACGCAGAGGAGACTGCGAACATGATCCGAAATCTTCACCCCAACGTAGAGAGACTGCGAGTTAATGTATTGCGCATAATCGAAAACATCTACAACGACAACAACATATTATATACTGCTTACGCTTTGGGCGCAGTCTCCATGTGAATCGTCCAATCACTCTGTGATTCTGAGTGCGCACTACTTTGTAGTATCGCCAAATCCCTCTATCGATTTTGTATGGCAGAGTATCCTGTTTTAAATGTTACTAGTACTTCACTTGATTAACGTATACTTACGTGCACATACTACAGTATGTACTGAATACATGTACTAGTATTCAACCGCACACAACTTGAAGGATTATAATGACGCATTTTGAATGTTACTTCACTTGATTAATGTATATAATCTACTGAACATATACTATTAATAGTACTATATAATGACTGTAGTACATGTACCTATACTTCACTTAATTAACATATACTACCCGTATTACTATTAAAAGTACTAGTACTTCGAAGTACAATGTACTGTACCCATACTATGTACTGTATATTCAACTACACATATCTTGGAGGATTATTATGACGTATTTTGATTGCTACTTCACTTCAGCGAGGGTTGCATCGTCGATCGACCGGTGAGGTGTAGCGTTGTTGTGTTGCAGCACGACACGCTTGTTCGAACTGCGAAAGTTCTCCTTGATTGCCGGTATAACTTTGTTGACAACGTAATCCCGGTACGTTGCGCCGTCAACATTGATCACGGTAATGACCATAGTGCCAGCAGGTTGATTCCGTGAGTTCCGAGTAGCTGAGACTTGAGTGATGAACGGCCAAATTCCAATCTTCCCGTTGAAGCCGTCCTCATCACGCGGGCAAGCAACCGCGCAAAGAAACATGACCTTCGCGATGAAGCGCTTTGACTTGCAGGCGCTGTATCCAACGTCTTCGCCATCGACAAGGTAGGTCTTGCGGTGGTCCTTATTGGCATTGAAGCACTTTTCGTCCAGGTGGACGACGTCCCATCCCAAAAAAGTAGATTTCGGGCATGGTGCCGGCTTTGACAGCTTCGCCGTCGGCACTGGCATTTTCTGCGTCGACACCAGCGAGGTAGGCATCGGCTGCTTCTTGCGTGTGATTGACGTGGGCGCCGCAATTGGTCAGGCGTTCTAGCCTGTTCGATACGGTGCATGATTCCACTCACTGAGAACGAAGGTTGTCAATCCGGTAGCTGCTGCCATGTCTCTCAGCGTGCTGCGTTGGTCGGAAGGTTACTTGTCATATTAGTCGCTTTATTTCTTCCGCTGAGTGTTGAGTGGTAAGTCCAACGCGGCCGAGCTTGAGCGTCGCGGTGTTGCCCGTCTTGTAGCGGCTCCACGGTGCACACGGTGCTTCGGTCCAATTCAAATTGCCCCACAATCGCCTTGATTGTGCCGCGCGGCAGCTTCTCCAAGCACATACTGTTCAGAAGAGCGGTGCTTACTTCACGCTTGCGCGCTGCAGTCAATTCTCGTGCTGAGCGTGGGTTTGTGCCAGTGCTGACCATAAAATAATTTTCCCGTGAATATATTCATTTTTCGTTTAAAACTAAATTATTCTTTTGTCAAGGCGAAGAAAATGAATAACCTATTTTTGGAGCAATTAGAAATAGGTTATTCGAACTTCTTGAGGTAAAAAAAATATATTCGTTGTGACAGGAATAATTCTTGGTTACCACGACACCTGGCTTCAAAACCACTCGTAGATATGGATGGTTATCAGTCACTAACACAAAAGTGAAAACGAATTATCGTCATATCTCGTTTTGATGAACATCGCCAGCAACAACATCCTACGCGGCCGCCACCTCGCCCATCATTTCTTTACTCGGAATGCTCCTGGCAGTACGGACTGGACATGCCGGTGTGGCGCACGACGTTCACAGAAGGGGAGTGGGTACACTAACCTCGTCTCGCATATCACCGCCGACCACCCCGGATATGTTGCATTTCATGCAACCAACCCCCCTAACGCCTCAGATCTATTTGAGATCATGGTCCCACGACATGTGCGTACAGCGTTTGGTTGGCTGTATTGGATTACATTGTGTTTGCTACCGTTTTCGTTTGTGTCAAATCCAACCGTCCGCCGCTTCGCACACTTGGACTCGATCTCTCGAACTTCGTTCATGAAGTACATGCACATACTCAGTGCTCACGTCGAGAAGAAGGTGGCTCTTCTACTACCTGAGAAGTTCGCCCTTGTGTTCGATGGTTGGTCGTGTGGCTCAACCCATTACCTTGCTCTGTTTACGTCCTACCCGTCGATGTAATTGGCTATTCACGAGTACTACTGTCTTTTGCACCAATCAACGAGGAGGAATCTCTAAGTGCGGCTACCCACGTGGAGTTTACTGAGTTTGTCCTCGATTTGTATGGGAAGTCCTGGAGCAATGTCATCACACTTATTGGAGATAACTGCTCCACCAATGTAGCTTTTGCACGACTCGCCGGGGTGCCTTTTAATGGATGCGCCAGCCATCGGTTTAACCTCTTTGTGTCCGACATGCTCACCAACCACGCGACTGTTATTGACAAAGACAACGCTCTTATGACCAAGCTTCGTTTTACCCTACCGGCCGCTCGTCTGCGTCGTGTGACCCCCCTACGTGCGATTAAACTAAGTGCGACACGCTGCAGTTCGACGTCCAACATGTTGAAACGGTATATTGAGCTTAAGCCATTTCTATTGGCTATTGCTGACCATAGTATCGACGTGCTACGACTCAATGTGGTGGAAGAATGCGAAGTGACGGCCCTGCTAGTCACTCTAGTAGACCTCAAGTCGATTACACTCGCCTTACAAGGCAATGAATGCTCTCTTTTGGAAGTGCTCCAAATCTTCGATACGGTTATCGAAGATTATCTGGATTAGGTGGGTCGTTTAGGTTCGAACGCGCGAGTTGTCAAAAACCCAATTTTGAGAGCGTCGTTGTGAAGATCCTCCGCGGCACCGAGACAACGATGACAGCTGAAGAGTGTGAAATCGTGATCAAGCTGCGCAATGAAGAAATCCAGCGCGGCGGGCGTGGCGCTTCCTGTGATGTCTCTGGCCGAGCAGGCGTTGAAAAAGAAGGTGACGCGCGTGACGAGCGGCTTCATGTATTGCCGGTTCTTCTGCCCAACGTCCAACATGTGTGAGCGCTTCTTTTCGTCTACCAAGTTGGCCATCGGAGATCGACGTTGCAGCAAGACCCCGAAATTTTTTTCGAGGAGCAAATGTTTTTGCATGCTAATATCAACCTTTGGACGATTGAAGACGTTATGAATAAAATATTGGTCACCACTGGTTTGTGCTCATGGCGGGAATTTTTGGAGTGACACGGGTCCCGTAGTTTTATTCATTTATTTATTTATTAAATTTATCTGGTGTTGCTAAGGCGGTGTCGATTATGACCACCAAAATTTCGCTTTGGTGATTGGTGGCCAATGGATAATACCTGTAGTTTTTAATTATCTTTTTTCATGATATTCGGTATTAAATTTGGACAAAAGATGAATTTTTGGGGTCGCTTGGAATCCTTAGCAGTAATAGCTAACAGAGGAAGTACAACTCCCGGAGTAGTATACAGTGTCAATCTAGTCATTTGCAGCTTTGTAGTACTGTGCTGTTGTATTAAAAGTAATCATTAACTGTACTCTATGCGGTATCAAATCTTGTCCTCCTAGTACTCCTTCCAGTACTCGACAGAGTACTCGCATGATGCTCTCATCGCATGTACCAGTCCTTCCTTTGAATACAAGGTTATTTTAAAACAACTTCATTCTGTACATCCGCGTGGAGTACTTGATTATGTAGCATACATAATCTTACTACTACTCTAGTTCTACTGTAGTGCATGTACTGTGAATTTAATTCCCGGCCAGTAAGTCACTTGAATAATGTATACCTGATTTGGGTGACAAAATCCTAAGAACCTCTTAATAATGATATGTATAAAGTATTCAAGTAATTAAATTTAGAAGTGCAACTAATATAAAAACTGTATTACATGTAGAATATTAAATCTTACAAGTATGTGATACAAGAGTACGTAATTTTGTCCAATCATCGTCCATGGAAGATTGTGATTGGCCATTTGCTGGCTGGGAACCTTGAACCCCCGAAACTACATCGCTACAATTGTGATTTACAGTGATTATTTTTGGACAGGTGCCATGACCGAGTTTCTCCGCAAAGCACTGTACAGATGTTCATGTAGTTACAGTAGCTACACGCCCTTACTGTACAAAACTGTGGATATAATCTTGGAATTATCAGAAATATCTACGCATAGAGATCCGTTTTGTGCTTACATGTTAACGTTAGAGCATCCCCACCGGCTCTTATTATCCAACGAATATACTACGTAGTAATATCTTACTGTACACAGGAAAACGTTCAGAAAATCTGGATACCTTCAGCCGAGACTGACAGTGAGAACCGTACAAGCAAAAAAAAATTACCCGTAACCTGAGGACTTCGTCCTACCCCACCGCGCGAACATACTTCGAAGTACTACGTTTATAATGCTACAGTGAACGAGGGAATTTGAGCCACACCGAAGTTCGTCTGAATACTGCTGTACTTACTGTTAACCAATCTTGATTTGTCAAAATAATCAAAGTTGGCCAATCAGACTTCAACGTTTAGATTCTACTTACGGTTCTCAGTCTTGGCTGAACAAAATAGGTATCCAGATTTATTGAACGTTTTTCGAGGTTAGTCCTAACAGACTCCAGCTTCGTATGTCATCACCACATCTACTCCATCTGTCCACAAGTTATGCACATATCAGTATTTTGAAAATTGATCCCCCACTGATGGGTACATAAATTTATGATGATAACGATATTGTCAATATCGTGTGCAAGATATGCTTTAGATAGCTTCGCACGACTTTAGTTTCCATAGTACTGTAGTCTGATTAGGATATCTAGGGGTTCAACACACAAATGCGCTCGGGTATTCTGAGGTACTGTACCGGATAGTGGTAATATTGGTACTCCCGATTTCAGAGTTTTTACTCACGGAATGGCCATGCATCCAACCCAACTCAGACATCTTGAGTCGCTTGGTCCCCTAGCCCTGATACCAGTGGGTGATGTTGTTATCACCGAACCTTTTTGTTACACATGGAGCTCATCCTACTCAAGGTCTAGTCAAAACCAAGTACGGAACAGGAGGCTGAGGGTTCAGGCTTTGGATACATGGAGTAAATCATCCCAGCCCGAAATCAGATGATCACATGATGGGAAATGACACTCGAATTTACAATAACAGTGTCTAACAATTCGTATCTATTTTTGTTTCCTTATTGGGTCACGACAGCCTTTACACACTTCAATTTGCAAACAACAGCATCATGGTCAAGCTTACTTTCATCGCGGCATTTGCCGCTCTCGCCACGGCCAAAATCGCCCCCAGTATCCACCGCCACTTGGAATCCAATGAGGACGTGGACGTTGTGATTGAATTCAAAGGAGGCAACCAGCCCGCCCTGGAAACCGCCCGTCTTCAGCGGGCTAGCTTTAAGGATCGCGGCTCCGGCATCGCCCATGTGCGCTCCCTCTTGGAGGGCAACATGAAGACGTCCCAGCGCGCGGCGGTGGAGTTGCTGTCATTGCAGCCCAGATCCTTCACGACCCGCGTCGAGAGCTTCTACATAAACGGCAACATGCACGTGTACGGCGCCAACCGCCTCGTGTTGGACGAACTCGCCACGTTGGACAACGTGGCTCGTATTCGACAACCTGTCACGGCGCAAATAAGTCCTGTCAGCTTCGACGACGACGACACTGATGTGGGGATTCCTCAAGGATGGGCTGACGACAACGCAACCTCCACGCGTGCCGCAAACGAATGGGGTGTCAACCTCATCAGCGCCCCAGCGGTGTGGGCTAATGGCAACCGTGGCGAAGGTGTCGTGGTTGGTATTATAGACACTGGCGCCATCCACACCCACGACGACTTGAAGGGCAACTGGCGATCGACCTACGGCTGGTTTGACCCCACCGACAAGACCCCCACCCCCATCGACAGGAACGGCCACGGCACCCACGTCGCGGGTTCAGCTGTTGGCCAAAACGGCATCGGCGTAGCCCCCGGAGCCACGTGGATTGCTTGCCGCGGGTGCACCACCTCCAAATGCCCTGAAGCGGCGCTCCTTAAATGTGCGCAATGGATGCTGTGCCCCACTGACGTGACGGGCAAAAACCCCAAGTGCGAATTGGCGCCTGACGTGATTAACAACAGCTGGGGATATGGTGCGAGTTCCAGCACTTACCAAGCCGTCGTGGACGCGTGGCGCGCTGCTGACATCATTCCCGTGTTTGCCAACGGCAACGGTGGTTCCAACTGCGGAACTGTCTACTCCCCTGGGGATTTCAAGAATGTCATTGGGGTTGGTGCTGTCGGCTTCGACGACAAGCTGGCCAGCTTCAGCAGTCGGGGACCTACCAACGACGGCCGCTCCAAGCCCGATGTGTCAGCGCCTGGTAACAGGGTTCGTTCGGCGTGGCATACTAGCAATTCGGCCTATAACACCATCTCCGGCACGTCCACGGCGTCTCCTCATGTCACTGGTGCCATTGCCCTCTACTTGAATGCGAACAAGGGTGCTAAGTACGACGATATCTACTAAGCGTTCACGACCACCGTGGACACTGACACGTTGACTCCAAGCAACCAGAACTGTGGGAGGGGGTCAAATTCCAAGTACCCCAACAACTACTACGGGTTTGGACGCATCAACGTCGCTAGCGCAATTGGTGGTGGGGTCGAGCCTCCTTCTTTCACCTCTGTCCCATCTCCTTCGAAGCCCAGCACGTCAGCTCCGTCGACCTCGGACCCCGCCACCACTACCCGCCGTCCATTCCCTTCTTTCCCTGTGACGTCGTCCCCATCGCCGTCAAAGCCTAGCACGTCAGCTCCGTCGACCTCGGACCCCTCCACCACTACCCACCGTCCGTTCCCTACTTCTCCTGTGACGTCTTCTCCACCGTCCACCTGCAATGGCTGCACTGGTTGCTATTCTCCTCTGATCAACTTATGTTTTCCTCCGGAGTTCGGTCAAGCTGAATGTGCCAAGTTGACGAACTTCCAAGAGACCTGGTGCGGCAAACAGTAAACTCATCGAGACGTGATTTGTTTCGATCATCGATTAACAGTGTAAGTAGAGTGAACCTGTGCTTAAGTACTGTTATGGGGTGCACAGAGGAAGGAGTGTAGAACAAGGCACTTCGAAGTATATTGTTAACTCAGTGAACGAGCCATCTCTGAGCTGGATTCCTTGGCACGCGGCTGCGCGCCAGTCATGCAATTCATGCCAAATGAATGGTGCTGCGGAGGTCGCAGAGCCGTGGGCGGAACGATCGAGTCGAAATACTTGTCCAATTTAAACGCGGTTTTTTGCTATGGGCATGGACTCTTTAAATACATAAACTGCCAAAGGATCAACCTTAATTTAATGATTTTCTGCGAGCAATCTAAGAATAAATAGTACAACTTGTAACAAATGTTTTATGAAAACAAATCCCCTTTGTAAAATAATATATTACGAATTTATTTTAGTTACACAGGTCTATTTTCCAAATAACCTATGAAATTTAATATGCTATTTGAGGACACTGGTTGCGAGTTCTTGCACTCTCCATGACTGCAAATGGGCGCTTTGATGTGGATGCCGCAATGATCCATGAAGATTGTAAATTTGTGAAATCAAATCGACCAAGGGTCTTGACTGAAGAAGAGAGACTGGACATTAGAGGGAGTCAATATAGGATTTCTGGTTTTGCTTTTGCTTTTCGTTCACTTTGAAAAGGAAATTTTTATTCAACCGTATTTTAATTGCTCAAAACGAAAAGCTGAGGAGAGTCAATATAGGCCAACGATCTCTTGTGCATGTGTCATCCGTATCCGTATATTTGCATTGGCAAAAATGCCACAGCTCTCAGAGCGCACCGCCATCGTTGCCGACTTGGACATCATGGTACGGACAATTGCAACATGCAATACTTCTGCTTCACATGCGGCTAAGAAAGACATTGATGTGCTACTTCGACTACGATACACTTTCTATGTTCGCGATACATGTTTGCACGTTGGTCGATTCCACGCTCCTTAAAGCAACTATCGATTCTGCCCTTCATTGCTGTTGGCGAGTTTGTCAGACTACATTTGCATATATGGTTGAGTTCATTGAGGGGAACTATGTCTTTCAACATTGTTCCCCTCAATCAACTCAACCATATACCTTAATTTGGCATCCTTTGTCGTCCACGGACGCACAGCTGGCACAACCGCGTTTACGTACTCCATTAGCCTTGCGAGGCCATGTGACCGAGTCAGCTTTTGACCTCCTTTCATTGGTTGTCCTTTGGTGGCCTGCTCAGTCAGCAGCGCAAAGTACTCGGGTATGCGCAGAAACTCGAGCATCGCCATACGCCCCGACCGTGAGGTTGCGGCGCGCTTCGACCTCTCCATAGCTGTGTTTTGGACTTTGCAACCGACTACTAGTTATGTGCATCTTGATTGGCTATCACTATCTTCACGCTGATTGGCTTACATTCTGCTTTTCACCTTTCGTTTTTGAAAAGCTGCTCTCGAGGTGCTTTTGCTTTTCGTGACGAAAAGCAAAACGCGAAAAGCAGTTTTCAAAACGAAAAGCAGTTTGGTTTTTATATTGACTCCCCCTATTCTGCGAGCCAACGTGTATCTCATAAACGTTAATTCCATAAATGGTAAATCCAGTGACGTTCCAAGCGAGATTGCTCACATCCTTGGCCGCTCAAGAAAAACAGTCCAGACTGTGTGGCGCGACTACGTTAGCAGTAAGGTGGTAGTGTCCGCTAAGCTACTATCCAACACCTCACCCCGACTAACTCGGATTCCCAGAACAATTGAGGTCATATCTTCGGTCCAACGATTTGTGCGTGAGAAGCGGCAAATCCGAGCCCATGTGGTTGCCAAATACGTAGCGGCCTTCCTACTCGAAACTGGGCACCTCTCGTACGACCCCTACATCAAAACGGAGCGTCAAACGGCACTGCGGTCGGTACAGAAGTTTGTCAAACATTGTGGCTACCTGCGTGACTCGAAGCGAGGTAAGAAGTCACTGGCCCTCACAGTGGCCAACACGATCCTCCGCGACAACTACGTACGGTTCATGTGTCACGCTACGCAACAAATACACACAACAGACTGTTGAACTGTCGTCTACCTTGACGAGAACTTCATCCATCAGCACTACAACAAGAACGATATATCGCTCTACGACCCTACGGACAACCTGTACGTGCAGGCCAAGGCCAGACACAAAGGCCATCGGTTTTGTTTCATTGCCGCCATTGTCGACCGTGGCCCATCCGAGTCTTTGTGGTGTGCTACGAGTAGTTTGTTGGTGGAAAACAAACAAAGGACTACCACGGCATGTTCGACCACACGTACTTTGTTACTTGGTTTGGCCGCTTGCTGGATGCTTTGGCGGATCGCGGGATATCCAACACTATCATCGTCATGGACATTGCAAAGTATCATAAGTGCCTACCGGAAGCAACACCACGCATTGCATGGCGGAAACCTGATTTGATGGACGTTTGCGACGCCTTGGGGATTCACACAAAAAGCATCCATTTGGCCAAAACTCCAGCCATACACCGCGTCCGTCGTACCCGTCGTTGTCGAAATGGCATCCGCCGCTGGCCACGAACTTGTGCACAGCCCACCTCACCACTCTAATCTCCAACCGATTGAGTTTTTGTGGGCAATTGTCAAAGGAGACGTCGGGAGACAATACGATACCAGTACGACATTCCACGATGGCGACATGCGATTGGACTCTGCGTTCGAAGCCGTCACTTCAGCAATGGTCCACGGCTGCATCAAGAAGTCGAAGCAGGACCTCTTGGAGCTACATCGTTACATTAGTACGATCGATGAAGATGAATACCAGTCGTGTGACTCCGATGACGACCGTGGAAGCTTTGATGGGTCAAGCTCGGGTGACGACAGCGATGTGGGTGCTTTTGTCGATTCGTACCTTGAGTAAACCAGTCAAAAGTTACAAATATTTACGTTTTTCCTTCATAAAATCGCTTCGCTACGGTAATCGATAGGCCTACGCCATATCTACATTTTGGTGGTAAGTGGGCTCAATTTGGAGTAATATTGAATGTACGGCGTCGCTTTTAGTGATTTGAGTTACTTCCTGTCATTTTTTATAACTCCGATAACGGATTTTTTTGCTTGCAAGAATTTATAGAGATGTTGTGTCATATGTAGAACTGCAAGATGCCATCAATTCCGGATAATTATCCGTCAGACCCCTCGATGGCTCCGCCCACTGTTAAGACACATGCATGTGCCAAGTGTCAGGATTGGAACTGACAAATGCGATGTTGTGTCCGGATGTTATCCGGACAGCGTTATATTCCTCCTACACTCAAACTTGATTTCGGCATGCCGAAGCCGTGGGATAGGGATTGAGAATTCGGAACGACAGTTGTCGTCAGTGGTCATTTTGAAAAGTGACGAAGGCGAAGGATGAGCACCTTCGGATCGTCGAACTGGGCCGCCGATGACGGCGGCCATGGTGGCGGAGCCCGGAACAGCCCAGGGCATAGTCACGAGCGCTCTGGACGGAGCGCACGTTCTCCGTTGCGGAAGCGATGATGCGACAATGACCCAGAGCGACCATACCGGCGAAGTAAGCTGGTTTTGGTGGTGACCTCGGTAAGCTCGGACGATGTTTTTGACTGTAAGGATGGGTCTCTCCCAGATGTGGGAGGTGCGGACTACCCGATGGACCAGGTGGTGTTCGGGTTGGCTTGGAGCGCGGACGAGTATGCGTGCATGGAGGAGTGTCGAGCTTCACGCAGCGAGTTGCTACGGCAATAGGTGGTGGTCAATGTCCGGATTGAAATGCAGCCATGGCGTGTGTCAGCACTGGAATTCGCTGAGTTTTGTGGCGAGAGCAAGTACCGTGGCGAAACTATCGACAATGTGTGGGTCGCTCCACTGAAGGATGGTACCATTTGGGAATTTGTTGGGCTTTGGTAGGCACGACTTGTGCGGAAGGTGCCAGTGCCGAACGTATTACACTACCAGCAGAAGCTGGACAAACACTTAGCAAATTTTGCTACGTGTAGGGCCGAGGTGCCTCGGCTAGGACGGGATTTCGTCCACCAGATCTCTGAGTATTGTCGAAGTCGCAACAGAGAGCACGGAGAGGTGAGTTGGCTGGGATGTCCAGCAGTGATGTCCATTTGCGTAGGGCCATGGGATGTCACGATGAGATACTCGCGACCATCAGGAGCCCAACGAGAGCCGTTTACCACTAACTCGTGGTGTGGCAGATGCGAACGCTGGTGTCACCCGCGACGTGTTGAGGCGTTTGGTAGCTCTTGAGACGCGCTCGCCGCTGCATGATGCTGTGGCCGCTCGCTTGGCTGCGGTTGAGCGGAAGATGAAGGGGTATCGCGTGACACGACTGGAGCACGATGCCCTGCTTGAACGATTGGCAGCTGTCGAGCGCAAGATGCAGGTGACCCATTGGGGTCGAAGGCAGAGGTCCTGCATCGCTCGGCGCTGAAACGGAACCCGAAGCCACAACACTTGGAGGAGTGGCATGTGCGGGCGGAGGTGGTTGCTGGCGCAACAAAGTCTGCTGTTGGAGCCCTTAATGGTCAGATTGTTAAGGTGGAACTTGCCCTGCAACTGGTGCAGGAGGATATGCGGGATACGCTGAAGAGCGTTCGTGAGGAGTCTCAGCGTCTTTGTGACGTGACTTGTCGTGTCGTGGAGCTGGAGATGCGCGTGGAGTATCTGGACACTGCTCCACATCCGACGGCACATCCTCGCCGTCGATAAACCGGGGTAAGTGGCGCTTGACTTTGCCGACGTAGAACGTCGGGTGGATTCGCCAGTCATCTGGCAGGTCGACTTTCATTGACGTTGGACTTATGATTTCCTTGATAGGTAAGTGGTCAAGCCAGGGAACCTGGAGCTGGGGTTGCGCAGGACTGTCCGAGGCACCGCCGACTTGTGTAGATAGACTAAGTCTCCAACACAGAAGGTGTTGGTGTTCTTGCGACCGTTCTTGTTGGCCTGATGGGTTTGCTGATGTTCTGCATGGGCGATATATTCGCCAAGTTGGCGCATAACGGAGCCGCAGAGGCGCAGAAATTCTTGGATCGATGCTGTCGTGCGTAGGCCAGGGGAGTTTTCTCCCACACTCAAAGTAGACATACCGGGGTTAGTGGGAAGACGGGGGTGACGCAGATGGTTTGCATAAAACGGGGAAAATCCCGTGGGGGCCACTTGGTGGAGTAGGGAACTCCATGCGCGAGGTTTCGACGCAGCATAACTGCGGAGAACATCTTCGATAACGCGGATAGCGCGTTCGGTTTGGCCGATAGTCTCGGGATGGTCGGCCGAGGACATGCTGAGGCGAGTGCCAATGCGGGCAAACAAGAACTTCCAGAAAGCAGAAGTGAAACGTGGATTTCGATCGGAGATGATGGAAGAAGGGAGGCCAAAGCGACAATACATGTTGTCCAAGAAGAGCGCGTCGCAGCGCTCAACTGTGATGCTCGCCCTGACGGCGACTGCCACAAGGTATTTCGACCCCCGCTCGACGCATACCCAAATGCCAGTGTTGCCGCATTGGTCGCGGGGAAGGCCAAAGATGAAGTCCAAACTGACGGATTCCCAGAGTTCGCGAGTGGAGCTTGAGTGGACGCGACGGCCTTGATTGATTGGCAGGCGTCGGAGGAGGCGACTTAGCGAGCAACGTGTTTATACAAACGCGGCAACCAAAAGAGTCGAGCGACGGTAGTGTACATTCGGTCGCGACCGAAGTGACCCCCGCTTGGGGCATCGTGGAGCTCGTGCAGGATGTCCTTCCGTAGAGAATGGTCGCAGGGAACTGCGACCTGAGAGCAATCAGTCGTGTTAGTGGAATACATCAACAGACCGCCACGGACCAAATAGCGGTCGAGTTGGGGGATACCAGAAGATATCGCTACGCCATCACGTAGGTGGGCGATGATCGGATCCAAAGCGGGGTCAGTTGTGTAAGCTGCTCGGATGCGAGCCATCCGAGTGGACCGTGGAGATGAAGGTGAGCTCCATTTTTGTATACCGACGGGAGTCGGGACAAAACATCCGCGACAACGTTGTCGCGCGGGTAGGGTTGTATTCAACCTTCATGTTGAATTCCACAAAGAAGGAGAGCCAGCGCTGTAGAGATTCGTGGTCAGGGAAGGCCACGAATTCCTCCAAACCCAGGAGGTAGATACGAAACTTCTTGAAGGCGTAGTACATCGCCAGAAGCCCCAAGTCATGAATAGGATAGTTCTTCTCGGACTTGTGGAGCTGGTAGGACTGGAACGATACCGGGCGATCCCGGCCCGAATCGTCGCACTGCGTCAGGCAGCAACCGATGGCGCGAATGGATGCGTTGTAGACCACGACGAAGGGTCTGGAATAGTCTGGTAGGCCATGGTGAGGCTCGCCTTGACGGCCTCGAAGGCCACTTGGCACTCTTGGGACCATGCCCAAGGAACGTCCTTGCCAAGTAAGCGTGTCATCATGCATGCCAGGTCGGCGAAATTCGTTGAGTACTTGTGCAGATAGGTGGCGAGTCCAACTGCACAGTTCGGGGACTGAACTTGGCGATGGCCAAGCTTTGATTACGGCCACCTTGGCAGCCGTTGATACCAACGAAGTCACCGAGGACAGGAATCTCGGGTACCCCGAAGGAGCACTTCGAGGGGTTCGCATATAGGCCGGTGTCTCGCAGGGTCTCAAGCACCAAACGTAGGTGTGACCGGTGGACATCCGCGTCGGATTGCGACGAACTGGCGCGACTGTGATGTAGACGTCGTCGAAATACGACGGAGCAAATTCGCGAAACTGACGGAGTTTCTCCGTGACGACGCGATTGAAGGCAGGGGCGTTCTTGAGTCCCTGGGGCATCACCAGCCATTTCCAGAGTATTCCACTGGGTGTAGAGACGGCTGTCTGTTCGATGTCCCTGATCTTCATCAGGACCTGGTACAGGTGCTGTAGAACCCATCGCGAAGGTCGATGGTGCTGAAGATCGTGGACTGTCCCATGGAGTTAATGATGACATCCTTCCACGGGATCGGCGTCTGCGCCGGAATCGTGGCAGAGTTCAACTTGTTGTAGGCGTGAATAATGCGCCATTTCCCGCTGCCTTTCTTAACACACAAGGTGGGACAAGAGTGCGGGGACTTGCTCTCCCACACGTGACAGGCTCGCTTGCGTGCTGCAAGAACTCGTCAATATATGCGACTTGGTCGCGTGGTAGTCGCCACTGTCGAGTGACGCACCACTTGGTGCCGGGCACCAAGTCAATGTTGTGCCTTACCCCTTTGTCTTTGGGGAGGCATTTCGGAACACTGTCCGGGAAGCTATCTTGGAACTCACGAACCAAGTCGTAGTAGGGGTTCGTTTCCAAATCCTTCCATACCGATAAGGAAGGATGAGACACATCCTCCTCGACGGGATCGTCGGTTGTCGAGGAAATCAGGAGGTTCATCTCCTGGCTCTCCGTGATGAGAGCAATGCTGATGTTGTCGTGCCCGCGCGCTACGCGGGCAAAAGAGAGATAGCTCACCTCTGGCAGCTGAGGGATCTTAGCGGCATTCAGCGGCAACTCGGACTGGTCGCAGGCTGAGAGGACAAAAGCGTGTGCATCACGCGTCGAGCATCCACTGAGGGTGGAATTCGCACCATCGCCGTTCATGGCGGCTCTCAAATCATCGCCAAACGTGGCGGCTCCCATATCATCGCCACAAGTGGCAGCATCGCCAAACATGGCAGAAAGTGCTACGAGGCAGTGGGACGCGTGACTAACGGCGCCGTCAGACCAGGCAATGGAGTGAGCTCATTACTCATCACGCCTAGGTCGGTAGAAGGGCGCGATCTTGCGCATAGTCTTGGATCGCCAATCGATCCAGGGTTGGTGTTTCTCCAACCAGCTGAATCAATGCGCGTCGGGCATAATTTTCCGACGCACCGCAGTCGAAGAGGACGCCGAACAAACGGTCGTACCCAGAGATACGACTGGAAAAGGACAACATGCGGGAAGGCTGTCTTCCGATTTGACACAGAATCACTGTGTTCGAGGCAGGACCTGCTGATCGTGTTATGTTCAAACGGCAAGCCCTCTGTAGTCTCAGTAGGACACCTCGCCTCGCGCCTAACTGAGGAGTCCCGTTTCCCCACCCGCGAGGAAACTCGCGACCGCCGCATCCGCGATCGACAATGGGACGCGCGAAGCGGGGTGCAGAGGATGAGGCAGTACCACGAGCCGATGTCAGCGCATGGCGTGGTTGACGACACTCGCTGGAGAAGTTTCACGGTCGGTTGCAGTTGAAGAAACGACGGTCGGCGGCGGGCGAGGTCATAGCAGAGAACTCCATGTTGTGTGGATCGCGGGTCTTGGTCGTGGTGCGCGATTGGAGAACCGAAAACGCTTCGGCCAGCGTGGTGCGGACGGCAACCCCGAAACCCCGAAACCCCATCCGAAAAAGCTGCATGCGCGCAGCTGAATCGTTGAGGCCGTTCACAAATACTGTCCCCTTACTTCGGCGAGTAAAGACTTCTGGGTGACACAGGACGCAAGAAAGCGCAGATCGTGGACGCACTCGCGAATAGAGCGTTTGCCTTGCTTGGCAGATAGGTACTCCGCGCGGTACCCGAAGTCGCTGTTAGTTGGCAGGAACGCTGCCTTCATTTGTTCGCTGAAATCATCGAAAGTGGCAAACGCCAAGACATCTTCGCAAGTTAGGCCCCAGGCCCAATCATCCGCACGACCAGTAAGCTGCGACATGGCGAAAGACACGCGGATCATATGGTCGTCGATGTTCAAAGCGTCCGCGGCACGACTAACATGCCTGATCCAACGAAGCAGTTCATGGGAGACAAGTCCTCGATACTTGGGGACTTCGAGCTTTACGGCGCGTTGCTTCGGCTTCGAAGCAGACTGCGAGGACATGCGTGCTGTCGTGTGAAGGAGAATAACCTCCAGAGCGCGAGCGTTGAGGTCGACAACTTCTTGTAGCGCGGCATCGTGCTCGGAAGCAAGCGATTGCACTTGCGCCGCAATGTCTTGCCGAGTATTCTCGCCATGACGAGCATAGCTTTCAACCAGGTGGAGCTGTGCTGGAGGCGTCAGCGCGTGGATCAGGCTCCAGGCTTCGTGGTCTCTGAGGGTGGAATACATATGCCGGATCGTGACAAGGTGAGTCTCGGGGAATTGGCAGAGGCCATTGCGCGGTGGAGGGAAAGGTCGATGGACGAATTGGAGTGCTACCAGGTGTAATGGGGCGCACAGAGGAAGGTGTGTAGAACAAGGTATATTGTTAACTGAATAAACTAGCATTCTGAGCTGGTTTCCTTGGCGAGCGGCTGTCATGCAATTCATGTCGAATGAATGGTTCTGTTGCGGAGGCCACAGTGCCAGTGATTCAAGACACTTGGATGTGCCAATTGTCCTCTCGGGTCAGGATTGGAACTGACGAATGTGATGTCGTGTCCAGATGTTATCCATAACCCGTTACAAGTACATGTCACGCCTACAGCTACATCATCGTCAGAGGTAGACTAAGTCCCTCTGTATTTCGCACATCTTCGGCTTGATGAAACCCCGCGTCTGGGCTATGGATTTGAAAGTCTGCAAATAAACCGAAGTTGCAGAGTGTTCCTTCGCACATACTGGTACTTCCAAACCTGGAGTGTGTTGTCGGTAACGTAGGGAAAGTTCATACTTCGAAGTAAGTGCGAATGACGAGGGCAGTAGGTAGCAGCAGACTAGTATGGAGACTGGAAGTGAATTACTTCTGACTGCAAACTGACAGCCAATCAAAACTATGATATGCCACGACTTCCTATGATGTTCCGTGTCTGCGCTGACTTCTTTCTAACGTTACCCGAGGAAAAGCCGCTCAAAGACACACAAACCTCCTCACAGCTGACGATGCTACCTGACTCACAGGAGGCTGCGGGAAATGATCAACTTTACGATCCTCAAACGATATGGCAGTACATTGTTCTTCATCACCAGACAACATGCTAAATCAAATTGTGTTCTGCCTGACGGAGAAAGCAGCGGTGTACGACTTCTAATTGACATTTTGAAGGATTGCCACCTTCCTCAATCGATTGCGCTGAGTTGCCGGACTGCACACAAAACATTTGCATAACATTTAAAAACATGACACTTAAATGTTCAAAAATTAAAACATAACAATGTATGCTATAAATTATAGCTCAAGATGACAATAATTGTCATATTTACGCTATATTTGAAGTTTACGCCACAATGTTGTCTTTAATGTGCTGTTTCGTGGCTCAAAGATCGCGGATCAACGAAAGAACATGGTAGCGGCGTGCACAACAACATCGATACTACGTATTGAAGTGTCATGGACAGTGTTGCGATGCCTATTGTAGGATATAATCACATACTACGTATTGAAGTGTCATGGACAGTGTTGCGATGCCTATTGTAGGATATAATCACACCCAAAGTAAGCCATATTTCAGATTTTTGGCATGTTTGAGGTCACTTCACGCATGCTGAGTGGGTGCAATCGTGGCACACCATATCTTGTGTCTGGAATCCGATTTTTTGTGTTCGATTGACAAAAATATAAACCATCGATTTTGATGGTTTCTTAGAAGGATTGATTCGTACTCAGCTTTTCAGAAATAATTTGTATTACTCGGAGTTTGGGATTTCCGGGGTTTCGGGGTGTTTAATTTATTCTCCGAGTACTGACAGTGATGGAAGGAACGTCGCAGTCGTGACCACATTTGACCGTACTCATCTTCGTAGGAGATGAATTATATTCCTGCAGCGCAGAATATGCTCCGCACTCGCTGGAGCAAAAACTGATGTGTATGCAGCTGACAAAAGCGACGTTAACTTAGATACACGCAGTTACATGTATCTCATCCTTGTACAAGTCAGTACCAAGTTACTTGTATCTCATCCTTGCATAACTCAATGTGTTCGTCAAAAACCCGCTGCAACATCGAAAGAACCATGAGTTATGAAGCGTATATCTTGCCCTCCAGTAAAGTTATATTGTAGCGATGTGACAGGTGGGTTAACGGCTTGCCACCACCTTGCCCGCACCCAGCTCCTAAGTACCTGGCTCATGACGAACCCTAGCTAATGCTTGCCTGGGAATGTGTCTCAAGGGCAAGTATGGCTTAGAATCGCTAGCCTAGTGAAGTTCCCCAATGTCTCAACCGCACCCGCATCCATTGTATACAAAAGTGCATATTAGTGTAGAAGTAGTGAAGTAGATTAAGAAGATTTCATAGTGATGAGGATTAAGGAGATCTTTGTAGATCTTCAGTTAATTCATTGTGCATTTTGCCCTCAACTACACACGCTTCCTCCCGCAGTGCTACATATATGATATGTAATGACATGGACATCTTCGTCTATGATCACCCTACAATCGCGCACTAAGCTTGCAGCGGAACGCGTCGTATTCTGTAACCCTGGCGCGATCGCCGCCAAGAATGCGTCGACATGACGTGCTGCAACATTTCGGTCAGAATACTTCAAAATAGCACGTTGTCTTTCGTTTTATCTGACTGTCAAATGCCTATAAAGTATAGATAGTGGGCAAAAGCCAATGTACACCAATGATATAGTTCCAATGGCCAGGATGTGGCCAATAACACAATACCAGTGTTCTTGTGAATTTTCGGCATTTGGTGGTATTCTG